TTATTAAAATATTAAAATTTTATTTCTACAAAATTGAAAATCCTACCTTTTCGATTTCATTTGCTTGAATGATTGTTACCTATCATTTTATAATGTACTGTATTGTTGTATTGTATTGTATTATATTGTTTTATCGAATGAAGATTGAAAAATGCATACAAACTTTGCAGCTTCAACAATTGAATATGGAAGAGTACCCTTCATTCATGGTAAACTTTGTACCTTAATTTTCTCATAAATATCGTATAATATTGTGTTATATGAAATTCACATATGATTGATTTATCTCTTTTGCGCAGACATGTATTTTAAGGATTAATATTAACGCTGATAGATGGCAAAGGACTATTGCCAAGGTGTTAAAAAACGTCGACGGTATTTCTTTAGTCCTTTTTGAGTATTTTTTCTTAATCGTCGTTGTATATAAGTTAAACTAGTCTAAATTGCGTTTATTTTTTCAACAGTGACAAATTTTAGAATGAACACAGATGGGACAATGGAGTTATCGGGAACTGTGTATCCAAATAAATTCTTGAAAATACTAAAAAAAGCAAGGAATAAAGCAGAGTTATGTCATTTGCAATTTGGAGAGTGTTCAACTAACTTGTTTTTACCTTCAAGGCCAATTGATTATAGCATTGGTAATAAATTTGGAGTACCAAATAACATGTTGATTTCTAGTTTTGTTGGACAAATGGAAGATAATCAGCCAGGCTATTATGGAGGAAGAGATGGTAGATTTTTACATTATGGTGATAAACCTTCACAATCAAAAACGTCAAAAAGTGAAAAGTCTGACCACGATCACGACCATGACCACAAACACGTCCACGGACGTGATCATAACCATAACCATAACCATAACCACGTTCACGGACACAACCACAACCACAACCAGAACAACGGGAAATTAGAGCATGGTGCAGGGTGTATCAATGCTACAACTCCAAGGCCAAAAGTGCAACTTGATTGTGAGAAAGGGAAAGCAGAGAAACTAAAGAGTCAAGGAGTCAACAGTTGCTGTTTGATGTGATGTACATATATGGATATGCATTTAGGCAATTTAATTATTTACTATATGTTCTAGGTTTAGTATTTTTGTGATACTCATTTAGGATTTCATTTTGGAATAAGTCAAACATATGTTGGAGTTACAATTATTAATTAATTCTACCTTTATTTATAGTACTACAAATTAATAATGACTTCATGTTTTGCTCTAAAACTTTTGATGAAACATTTCTCTATTAGTACCCTTGTTGGTGTTCTTATTATTACATCTAGAGTTTATATAGGAGTTGCGTAATATATAGTAAACTGATTTATTCGAGTTAGAAATGGTAGACTTCGATGTAATCATGGGAATAGACTGGCTTTCCGCTTGCTATGCAACCAAGGATTGTTGATTCAAGTTTGTCAGGTTCCAATATATCTTAAGGATTCAATTTCCTTATCTTAAGACTATCAAGATGATTTCAATGGGGATGTATATGTCTAAATATCAACTTAGTATATTATTCTCCTGCCACAATTGCAAGTCCATATAAAATTTCAACTTCAAATCAACTGTTATCTCCTGTATCCAGGTTAGTCAAAAATACAGAAACAGAAAAAAGATAAAACAGACAGAATTAGTTTTAATCCGAGTCCACAGAAACCACTGTGTTTCCTTAAGAAATTTAATCCCCTCACTGTACCCGAGGTTGCAGATTAATTTCTCCCAAGATAAAACGGATTAACCTGTTAAAGAAGTAGCGGTACCTCAAACTTCAATACTTCAGCGAACGCAAGAACAGCAACAAGAGCACACACAGACTCTGTCGATCGACAATTTTATTTATGAGAGAAAATGTATGCAGAGAGGAAAAAAATTTCAGTCCTTGAAAAAACGAAAAAGACCTCTTATTTATAGCCATTTGCAGCAAGGAACGCGTCTGTTCAGAAAAATCTGTTCAGACCCGTTTTTTCCAGAACATTGTGTCCTTTGGGAAAAGTAACGATTTTTCGGAAGGAAAACCGTTTGGAAAAGTAACGAATTTTTGGAAAGTAACGACTTTTCGGAAGGATTACCGTTACACATGAATTTCAAATAAATTCAGTTGCGCCAAATTAATTCTGTTAGTTAACCAACATTCTGAATTAATTTATAAGAGAAAGGAAATCAAT